ACATCAGTTCCTAACATATCTCTGATTCAGTCTTCTAATAGATTTTGCCCTTAATACTATTTTTATTTTATTTTTGATTTACAGCTTGATTCCACACCGTATTTACAGTACAAGTATGGAATTTTCAGCATGGATATCGGTAGCCCAAATTCAGGCCGACCATAGATATCGGGTGTGCGCCTGTAGGGGATCGAACCCCGGACCATGTGCATGGTCGGCGAGAGTCCTAACCACTGGTAGGTTGACCAGTGTGCAGGTGATTCGCTAGACTGACAAGCTGGTCACTCATATATGTTCAGTTGACATGACTATGTTGATTAACAGACAAGATGGTGAATGCATCAGTCGGCATAACTGGAGTAATCCACAGTCATCCAACCACTAGCAGCTGACTTTCCGCTTCTTATTAGTACCATGATGCTGTATTAAAGATGAAATCTAATTAAGACAGTTGATGGTGAAATGTTTGATGATGAAAGGACTATACGAGGCGTAAAATTGTGGAATTGTAACAATCACAGTATCTACCAACTTAAATAGACAGAAATTATTCAAAATGAGTAGTGATGAGCTTTTTATGTTAGCTGAGTTCTCATTAGACGGAGAAGCGTTTCAAGTACAAACAGGGAATACGCTTTCACTAATAACAACTAACTTTGAACAGTGTAACAAACACTCGACTAGTGCTACGATCGGATCTCGGTCAAATGAGTGTCCATCCCATTACGAATTACTTCGATGGTAGAATAAGACAGTTCAGAAATGGGTTGATCATTGCTGAGTTCTCTTCCTCTAAATTATGCGAAAACAGTAAGTACATAACGTTCCACACCGAACTAAGCGTGTCATCACCCACCAACTGATCCACCTGAACGCAAACCTTCAACAATCATCCAAACACATTTGAAGTCATGTGAAAACATACCCTAGTGGTCACACTCATGTCATGAGGATACTGACGAAGTGGAATACATAACTAAGATGGTTGTATATAATCCGCTGTTAATCTCAATATGCTACTGTGAATCATTTCAGTTAGTTCACACGCAGTCTGTCTATATCACTTTGAAAGACAGTCAGTTGTTTGAGGAAAATTTTAGTAGTTAGTTAGTAATACTATCTCAGTAAGAAAATGTCTTACAGGTGGTGTAATTGCATCCCATTACTTCACCACAAAGCCATCGGAACATCCTACAGCTGTTGTATAATCTAGGCTATAGGAGATTGACAGCTACACACTTACTCTAATTGGATTTCAAAATGTCAATAAACATTCTGGAAGCACCGTCCAAATAATGTCTGCAATAATCATAAAGGTACTCATACTTGAATGAACCACTTGGGATCACGACGGTATATAAGCTAATCACTATACAACATGTTGCAACAAGCGTTTTGCTATCTCCTGTGAGACTGGTTATACACTCGTCCCCTGAGTTGATTGTAGTGGCATTTAGCATTTTTAAAACGCAGGATTTCCTTTACAACTCCTACCTACGTATGTTGTTACAACTTAGATGGATTGTCGAAAAGTTTCAAAGTCTTACGTCAACGATTCCCCGTAGCACACAACCGAAGTGGGTGGCTGAAATTACAAATTATTACTGCAGTTTGTATGTCTGAGTTAGAACATTAAGTTTATTGATACGAGACGAGATTGATGGATGGCATAAGAAACCCAATGTTTTCTGTTCAAGCTCCATTCACACTGTCGATCCACGCTCTTCAGTTTAACTTGCCATGCAAAGACTTCAAAGCAAACTATAGCACAAATCTTATCCAGTCGGCTGTATTCACTATTGACAAGTCAATATCAGGGCTAACATGTAATCTGAACAAGTGACAAGAATTCTACCACATTTTGTCTCCTAGCAAACAGCCAAATCACAGTAGTCAGACATAGTGTATTTTCATTAGCTCAAACATTACGTTCCTAAACACACACACGAATTACCCTCTGATTCTTCGGATTTTCTTCACAGCACTGAGATGACTGCATGTCATCTGAACACCTTAAATTAGGCAAAATCCTCGTCTCCATCAAACCTCTGGAGTGACATTTTGAAAATAAACCATGTAAAGTAGGGCGTTCATAAGATGGGAGAAACACCAATTCAAGCGTCTGACTAGTTTGTTCAACACTTCTATATCACCTGAAATTGCCAAAGTATCATTCATTGGTCGTGCATCACTACTCTATAGCACTTACAAAGACTCCTAAAATATATACTCTACTATTCAGCTGTGCAACACAACTTATGATATCAAACACATCAGTCCTTTTGAGTGAAAGTTCACCACACCACCAGTAATAATAAACTAGAATGCCACACTTCAATGTGCAGTAAGTCCCACAACCGATAGCAAGAAACACAAACTTTCGCCATAAATCATCCAGCTCAAACAACACATCACCACCATCAGAAACATCCACAAATCTACTACTCCATTATTATTTTAGTATCTTATGAAGCGGAAAATATGCTTCTATTCTACTATATCTGACACAACTTACACGTCATCCTCAACACTAAATACAGTCTCGCATTCATTCATTCACTCACACAAGCACAACTATGTCATTCTGGAAACAGCAGCTCCTGCTGTGTCTGAATTAGGACTGAGTGAGGAAAGGGGTCTCACTATTTATCTATGAAAATAAAATAGAAAATCTACACCTATCACTTCGTAGACACTTTATTCTATCTCAGAAACAAGGGTCTGATAATTCTACTACACGTTATAGGCCATCAACAAAAGACTCCAAAATAACACCGAATAAAATACTATCGAAGTTTAAAATTCCACACCAGTTGGTCAACGAACACAACTCACAATCAGTTTCCCCAACGAATACTCCACACAGATATTTACTACCGGCGTTTTCGCATCCTACTAGGCCCACAATCACAGAAGCCTCAGAGCTATAGTAATAAAATATAGCAGGATAAGCTCTATCAATCGGTACCGGATTCCGTCACCAAACTCCCAAGAAGACTCATATCACCACACTAAAGCCAACTTTCACAGCCTGACTAGTCAAACAACAGACTCTGTCCCACTTCCTAATGAAGAACTACAAAACATCAAATTGGTTAACTCTACTTGACTACTCTTTTATCACCCTTCTACAACCAACACGAACCACCCTTCGAATAGTCTTCACACCTACACTCACTCACTCTCAGAATAACATCCACTCATACCTGTTGACGTTACATATACCTATCCTATTACTTCGTTATGGAGCATACCTCGCTACCAAGCATTTGCTTGCCCATTCATAACACAAATACTATTAAGAGAGGCATTTCTCCAACCCTAACGAAATCCAACACCATATACTCAAAATTGTAATAACACAACTCCCTCCAACGTACGGGTATCCAAAGTATCTACTCCCTACTCATACCTTCAATACAATACACACGAGTTAATTTGTAACTCACATGACTCAAAGGTGCGTTAATCCCCTAACCTATCACTATCGTATGAAACGACCAAGCAGCCTAACGCCACCAAAGCAAGTACAAACCAACGAGAAACATTTGACAAGTACAATTACTGATATACGGAAACGCGAAGAAAAAGTCAAGGTTTGACACAAATTAAAAAATTTATTCAACTAACACCTAACAGCACCAACATTGACCACCTAGGCTTCTTCCTCCTCTTCGAATTCGCCCTCCTCCTCAGCCGTCGCATCCTGGTATTGTTGATACTCGCTGACCAGATCATTCATGTTAGATTCGGCCTCTGTGAATTCCATCTCGTCCATACCCTCTCCTGTATACCAATGCAAGAAGGCTTTTCTACGGAACATGGCAGTAAATTGTTCACTCACACGCTTAAACAGCTCTTGGATAGCAGTACTGTTGCCTATAAAGGTGACTGACATCTTAAGACCTCTGGGAGGAATATCGCAAACAGCCGTCTTCACATTGTTCGGTATCCATTCCACAAAGTAACTAGAGTTCTTGTTCTGAACGTTGAGCATTTGCTCGTCAACCTCCTTCATGGACATGCGGCCTCTGAACATAGCCGCAACTGTCAGATATCGCCCGTGACGAGGATCGCACGCCGCCATCATATTCTTGGCATCAAACATTTGCTGAGTCAGTTCTGGCACTGTCAGAGATCGGTACTGCTGACTACCACGGCTTGTCAAAGGTGCAAATCCTGGCATGAAGAAGTGCAGTCGAGGGAAAGGCACCATGTTCACAGCTAACTTACGAAGATCAGCATTCAACTGACCCGGAAATCTCAAGCACGTTGTTACTCCAGACATCGTTGCACTAACCAAGTGATTCAAGTCACCATAAGTAGGAGTCGTGAGTTTGAGTGTGCGGAAACAAATATCATACAGAGCTTCGTTGTCAATGCAGTATGTCTCATCCGTATTTTCCACGAGTTGATGAACTGACAGGGTCGCATTGTAGGGCTCGACAACAGTATCAGACACCTGGAATACTACTTAGTACAAATAATTAACTTACCTTAGGTGAAGGCACTACGGAGAACGTGTTCATGATACGATCAGGATACTCCTCGCGGATTTTCGAAATCAACAATGTCCCCATACCAGATCCTGTGCCTCCTCCAAGAGAATGAGTCAGTTGGAAACCTTGAAGGCAATCGCACGACTCGGCTTCCTTGCGGACCACATCGAGGACTGAGTCCACTAGTTCGGCACCTTCAGTGTAGTGCCCCTTCGCCCAATTGTTTCCTGCCCCACTTTGTCCGAAAACGAAGTTATCCGGTCGGAACAATTGACCGAATGGACCTGCTCGCACACTGTCCATCGTACCCGGCTCGAGATCAACCAACACCGCTCGTGGCACATACTTTCCTCCGGTTGCTTCATTATAGTACACGTTTATGCGTTCTAGCTGAAGATCGGAGTCGCCATGGTACGTCCCCGTTGGATCAATTCCATGTTCATCAGATATAACTTCCCAAAACTATAACAAAATATTCACCAACAAAACTGCTTGTCTTACTTTCGCACCGATCTGATTTCCGCACTGACCGGCTTGAATGTGAACAATTTCGCGCATCCTGACAAGACACTAGCAACAACAATAACAGAACTCAATACAAATAGCGAGCCAAGACTTTGAAACCAAACCGGTGCAGTAGCGTATATATATCTACGAGCGACTAGTAGTCATGGTTACTTCAAACGAACAATTCCATCAATTCAAATAAAATTGATGCCTCCTGTTTCTAAATAATTTTAAGTCCAAAATGTTAATTGGTGATATACTTTTCACACTTTCACTGCAAATGGAGCCCTTCGCGGAGCTTTCTACCGGCATTTGATTTTCATATATTCGTTTGATATGTCACATCATATCTCGAGAAGATTGATGCTCACTTTCGCCTCTCTTTTATCACTCCAGTGAATCGGGGAAATTTCAGCAATCTTCTGTCTTACTTCATTGCGTTTTCATGAGAGGCATATCACAGTTTAAGGTAGGCTGAAGATAAGGCCTATATAATGCCTGTGTATTTACTTCAACGTTTATCATTTTACATCACATGGACATGTATCTTCCAGGGTTCAGTTTTAAAATTATTTTATCCCCTGCCGCTTTGCTCGAGGCAACGATTTTTAAGTAAAGTAGTGGGGTTATATATCGGTGTGTGAATTCTGTAAAATAAGTTCCTCTCCAAGAATCTTGCACCTGGTTTTGTTCATAAGCTATGAAGCTGGTAACGCTTATCAACAGCCCGAGATTTGTGGCTCACATAGATACGTTTATTTGTATTACGTCTGCCTAGACTTTGACAGAATATTTCCCTAAACATGAGACGGTGAGTAAAAGTGGACAACCGTAACAATTGTATTTCTATAGAAGTTTCGGTAAAATTTAAGTGAAGAATTCTCACGATTCACTTGACAAACTACCTCGAACCTTTTCAAAGAAATTGTCACAATTCAAGGGACGAAATTATATTTAAGCCACTCGTCTGTTCATACCTGAATTGTAAGTAGTCCCAAAAATAGTGTAAATAATATCATGTGAACTCGTGTCAGGATTTGATGCGATGACTCGACACCAGTCTTCTTGTTATACACTGTAATTTGTGTGTCTTCTCTTATATCAGTCTCTAATGAAAACTTCATGATAAATGTCTTCTTGACATGCCGTGTAGTAGAGGCATTTATACGTGTGTGTATATATATGTAGGTGTAGGTATATAAAGTGTATTCATTGCACATGGATATGCGTTGATGAATAACTGTATTTCATTTTCCCGAATGTTATAAGTGAGATGTGGCACTGACGTTAGTCACAGTTATAGGTAACCAGTGCACAAATTTAACTTTTGATTGCCATTTCGATATGTACTTTCCTACAAATGAAATGCTTACAAGTGTTCCACGCTTGCAAATACGATCGAACATCACGTGGATTTACTTCGTGGAATGTCTACATAAGTTGATTGCCCGGAAAGTATGGGTGGTCTCCCTTTCTCATGAGGGTCATTATCAAAGTGGCAGTAATTTTAATGTTAAGTGGTGAGGCCATCGTCGAGGTTGCACCCAATTCAATTTTCCTTTCGGCGTCATGTGGGTAAGTACACCCCACCGGTAGACTGTCATATCTGTCTCGGTCAGGTAGCGGTCATGTTTCTCGTGCATATTATTCTATTGGCTACTGAAAAGAAGGTATATGTTCCGAGAAGACACGATGTGATATAAAACACAGGAATGAGCACAGTTTATACCAAAATTTAATTTGGAAATAATATGTGGGGCGGATTTATACACTACAATGGATATCAAATGCACACTAGCATAGAAGAATGCCTACCGTAATGGTCTAATTATTCACTGTACACTGACTACGGTAAAAGCGTATTCAAAAAGAGTGCTATAAGACTTGCTTAGCCAAACACGAGGGCATGAATAGGTACTAGTGAGCGAAGACCTAATAAAGAACCGCGATAACAGTATATGGAGATGTCTAAGGAAAAGCACTGTTAAGTATGAAAGTGGCGGTCAGCCAAGATATGTCACTTAAAGATTCAAAAATAAAAGCGAACACCTGTGGTGGACCTAGCAACTAAGTATGTCTATATACACAATTAAAAATGACAGAACGAATACTAACAAATATGTATAAATAAGATATTCAGTTTACTTAAGATAGTATGCACAAAAAAACTGAAGTTATTTGAAGAAAAGCTATCATAATCAGAAAATACTCAAATTATAGACGTACAA